GCATTATCCAAAACAATAACGGATTTTTTTTTATAATGTTCCGAAACTAATTTTCAAACATAGGGGCATCCATTTCTTCATGGTAGTCTTTTGTTTTCTTTGACTAGAACATTAATAATCCATTTGACAAAAATTCATCGGTGCTTTCAATGTGGGTTATTATTAAACGATTTCTTTTTCCTGTTGGATTTTTTAAGCCACAAGAGACCCCTTTCATATATTTTAACTTTTTTATTTTGACAGATAGGTTAATTCTTCAGAGACAACTGATCAGACTTAGGCAACTGATCAGACTTAGGCAACTTTTCATACATTTTCCAGTAAATACTGTTGCCTGCCTATATTTTATTATTGATTTTTATTGATTATACATAATTTTCTTTAATTTAAGCGATAAAATAATATAATAATAATAAATTAATGTTTTACTTGTTTTACAAATCCATATACTTTTATTAAAACTAACATATATACTTTTTAATTACGAATTCTATTAAAAATTGTATTTGTCAGTATACGCAGAAATAGTCCATTAGTACCAAAACGAATTGGCGCTGCTGTCGCGCACGGACCGAATACACTATCCGCTTAGACACTCCAGTATAGGTCTCACATTTAGATGCTATTTCATCAACAGAAAGTGAAACAAAGTCTTTTCGAAGATTATTAAATACATTAAATACGATATTTTTTTCTTATAGTGCTTTATGTCCTCTACATCTTTTACGCGTACTTGTGCTTGCAGTATTTTCTAATGCACTCGCCATTCTTATAGAACTGTAAAATTATACGGCTATGAATAAATAAAGTCTGACTAATCTGTCAAAAGAAAAGGTTTATTACAGTAAAAACCATGGAAATATAACTAAATCTAAACGAAAACTATTATTAGGCCGACCAGAGATGCATTAAAAAAAACCGCTGCGGCAACTGTCGACGCTGGGACCGACGACTGTCGACGCTAGGACCGGTGCCTTTAGGCACTAGGACCGACACCTGCCGGCGCTTGTAGAACCGGCGGCGCACCGGGAAATTTATCGGTCTTCCAGTGAGCCCATCCGCTCTTGCCTTTCTTCTCTAGACCCTAGTGTGTTTCGAAGTGTCTATCCTAGAAGTTTTCTATATAATTTCAATATAAAAAAATGGGGTTATGTTACTTTTCTCTCTCGTCATGTTTAGGCACCGTTCTATTTTCCGAATAAAACCTTTTTTTAAGGACAGCGTCTCTTAGGAATTTCTGAACAAAATTATGTCAATTTAGATTCAATCAAGGAGGTGCTGTTACCTACCGACTAGAGATTGAATTAGTGCAAATTATTACAGAAATCTTTAAGTAACTATAAATATCGACCGACTAGCTATTAGGGGATATTGTATTATATTGTATTATAAACCGGTTTTTAGTAGACTGAGTTCGAAGGATCATAATAATAGTCCTGAACATAAAATCTATTTTTCAATAATTGCCGGGATTTTACCAAAATTATTTCGTGATTGTGAAAACGGTCCAATCGTTTTATATGCCATTTATAATATTATAAAAATGTTAACTCTAGGACTCATTTTGGAATATGAGCATACTTTATTTCAATACTTTTATTGTACTGTTTCATAAAGTATTACCTACCTATTACATTTTATTTTTATCGAAAATTGACTTTGTTTCCTGGACCAAAGTAAAGAATGTAGATGCAGATGGTAACAACAAAAACGATATCTTGCCTCACATTAAATATAAATATTTCCTAAAACAAATAATTTGGTTTATATACGGGTAGTAATAAGAGGGATGTTTATAATTTCAAGTCACGAATATAGAGTCGTTTCAAAATATATTGCCACAATAATTGCGTCACATTGAGTCGGAGTGGGACGCTTGACGTGTCGCAATTCGCAATATATTTTAAAACTATTCTACCTAATTAATAAATTGTGATTTTGAGGTATCGAATGAAAACTATATTCTCATTGGTTAAAGATGGAAGTTTTTGTCATTTGAATGTTCAAGAATATTAATTGTGATTAATTGGTTAAATACCGAAGTTATCTGTTATCTGATGTTGGTACTAACCTAATGTTTTTGGGTAATTTTGACTGTCATTTCCTGGAATTTCCAGGCCCGCATAAATATGTATCCTATTAAAGTACAAAAACCCTACAATAGATATTATGAGTAGGTATTTAACATTCATTTATCTTATCTTATCTTAGGTAGTTATTTCCTAGAAACATGTCCCTGATTGTCAATAACACATTACCGTATATCTGTGCCAATATGACGTCACGACTTTTAATATACTTAATGAAGGAGTTAAGAGTCTATAAATTTACAAACAAGCTTACGGGTATTTAGTTTTCAAAATTACATCACACGTTTCTGAAGTGTTTTATTGTGCTGTTTGTTTTTAATAAGTGTTATTTTCTTTAACAGAAAATTGATTTATTTGTGCCAAGTGTCCTAGTGAGTTTCATTGTACATTTTAATCAGTTTTTTTTTTTGGATAAATTGACATCGACTTCCTGCATTAAAGGTAGGTAGTATTTTTTTTCTATCACTCTCGAGTTCTTCATTGAATAAAAAAATTAAACGCTATAATTTTAACATTCAAATATTTGCAATTAAAAAATAATATTACGTATTAAATTTGACAATAAAAAAACTTGTTATTTAATAATAAATATATTTTTTCTACGATCAATATCCAAAGTAGGTAGGCTTTTGCACATTAAAATCTAAATAAAAAGTTGACGTTTTCTGCGAATTGTCATAATTTGACATTATTGGCGCACATTACCTAATATTCAAACCCATTTCCATGCTTAAAAATAGAAGATGGTGACATTCATTTAAAAGAAAACCATAACTACTTTTACCAGGTGAAAAATTTCAATATGTTAAAATAATTCATGATTTTTAAGAAATGTGCTAGAAATGATACTACAATATTAATATTCTTTTTGTATTTGTATTTGATTTTCTAATAATGATTTTATATACTTTTAGATTCAAGGACAGCTAGGTATAGCTCAAAGAAAATTGTGCTACTTTGTAGTATATACTGGAGATGAAAATCCAATATTTGTTGAAAAAATTCATATTCAACCCATTTTTTTTTTAAATATGGTTGAAAAATTAGAAAAATTTTACTCGGAATATATGGCACCTGAGATAATTTTAAATAGAAGAGGACGAGGATTAAAATGTCTGGATACCCCATATAATGAAACTTAAAGTGCAAAGATTAGCAAATTTATAAAAATAATAATTTAATGGACTTTAATGATACAAGTACTTGAAATAATGGTTTTTTTTGCGCAGAAGCATGTTCATACGTAATTTGCAATTGGTAATCACTAATCACAGATGGAAAAGTATATACGTCAACGATATGTTCTCTTATTTTTGATTTATTTTAACAGGAATAATATATGGTATGTTACTTATAGTATAGATTTTTTTATTTCTCGACCTAATTTATTTGTTACGTCTTCAGCAATTGTCGCTTTCAGTTGACATAAACGAAATTGATAAAAAGTGTTTTTCGCATTTTATTTTGACTGTTTCTCTTACTTTCGAATAGAAACTGAGCTTTGTAAACATAAAATGACGGATATGTCAAACTAAAACTGACGGTAAAATGAAATATTGAGTATCGTTAAATGCAACTTTTGAAATAGTTTCAAAAATAGCATTAAAATGATATTATCATTCACAATGTACTAATTTCCTATACTTTTAGTTGATAAATAACCGATAATCATACATCATATAACAAATAGGCGCGTGTCAAAAGGTCACCGGCGAAAAAAGAGTGCCGATGAAAAAAGGTCGTTTCCAATTGTATCATATAAACAGTATCAGAGGCAGTATTATCATCTCGTATATCCCCCGTAAACACACATAATATAAACGGAAATAATCAAATACTAGTCAAAATATTATCGATCGGAGCACCATCTTTATTACATTACAAGAAGTAATTATTGATTTTTCGGGGTTGTTTAGAGTTAAATTAGACGCCATTTTTGGTCCAAATTCGTTTTGACATGTTTTTTCAAAGAAAGTGACTTATAAATTTCAAATCTACACGTTTTGAAAAATATACAATATTTAAATATTCTGAGTGTACCAAATTCCAAGTAAAGGTTGAACTTAGGTCGTATTACATTTTTTTTTTTATTATTTGCTTGACATCGAGGTTAAAATAATTCTACACGGCACCTTTGAGATGAAATAAAAGGGGGTTATTTTACATGATTGGTTTTTATTGAAAATAATAAATTTATTAATTTTCAATAGTAAGGTGACCTAAGTTAGACCTATATTTTTAATTAGGCCAAAAATTAGATTTTTATACACTACATATTCGGAAAACTGTCGATTTAACTTTTGGTCTACACATACACTTTTAGTACACAGGGATACCCCGTCCTTAATGAGGTTTTTTTATCATTTATCAAAGTTTTTAAACAGGTCTTTTGATAGACCTTACTGCACAGAAACCCATCTGACGATTATTAAAATATTATTCCTCATTAGAACAATACCAATAGGTATATATTTACCAATTTTGATGTTTTTTTTTTAATTAAAAATAAAATTTTCCTTCATATTTTTTTTATTTTCTAACTATTCACTTTTTTAACCTAAGTTAGAAAATTTTCCAAAGGATCGTAAGTGAAAATTTCTTGACATTAACAGATGTCAAAAATAGCGAATTACAAAAATAGTATTATAGTACGAAACTATTTGGACTATAGAAACTATCTGAATAAACTCGCCTTGAAGCTCTACATAAATATGTATATATTATGCTAAAAAAATGGGACAGAAAATTTTAAAAATTACATTTCATATTATTATTATTAATTAAATGAATATTTTTTGACCTTGGTCCGCTTTAAAAAATAATGCAACCTCATCAACTCATAACGCATTTTTAGTATATCAATTTATTTTTATTAGTAGTGAAAAACAAAAGATCCGTCTACGATAAATAATGGAAAAAAATGTTGTGAAAAAGAGCGGCAATATGATTAAAGTATGTGTGAAATAGCAGTTAGCGTTTATATCAGATAAAGATAAAAAGAGTATCATAACCTTCTTGAAGTTCAGTGCACGCGTTTTTTACGATCGTCCTACGCCATTTTGCATAGTAATTTTCTGTCGTTTCACACAGTTTTGTTGCCTGTTTTGCCTGTTGCATCTATATTTAATGCCCGTTAGACGTCTAATGGTTAAATGTTAAATACAGAGTGTCCGCGAACTTAACTTATTTTATTGTCAATTGCGTTCTCTTTGATAATTTTTAAAATAAAAAATAGAGTAAGAATATATAAGGAGTGATCCACAAAAAATGTTTCTAAAATAGGCCTTGGAAAAATTTACGCATGTCGTAGCTTAAGTGTCAGTTTTGATTTAATTCATAGTCGTGGATATGACTATCTTTTTTATTGTCGATGATGGAATACTTTCTACTTCCTACATTCTACCACGCCTATTTTGACGATTAGACAACACTGCATGATAGTGACTTCATAAATGCATAAATGATCGATGACGTCCATCAGTTTTTATATTTAAAATCTTATAAACGGTTTTTTTCTAAGAGCGCCTAGCGGCAGGTATTCAGTTAGAATCTCTTACAAAACTATCTCAAATATAATTTTTCTTTGGGTAATTCCTTAACTATTTCGAGTTCTACTTTCTTCCATTAGATTATTAATGGCAGTTTCTGCTGGACCACATAATTATAATGGTTCTGTGTTGTTATACAGGGTGTACCAAATCGAAAATAAATCACTGAAGTCTATTTTTAGGGACAAAAATGGCACTTTTACCCCTTAGGAATTAAAAATGTACCTACTTTTATACAATATACTTAATGGTACTTTTAATTACTAGGGATTAAAAGTACAATATAAGTCAACACTATAGCAGCCTTGCACTAACATAGTCATATTGCTTTGTTTAGAATACCGTTAAGTGCTTTTTCATAAAATAAAATAGCGTAAAAACTACGAGACTGAAATGTATTTTTATTGGCGAATTTTACAAACTTTTCGTCTCAGAATAAAAAATGCCACTTTCAGGTCCAGTACAAATATACTTCTGTTAAACAATTTATTCTGAAAATAGATATGTGGTCATCTTAAGGGCGGGCGTGGGCAATGTATTTAACATAGGCATACACAACGTTCTTTCAATGACTTTTAGCTGAAACTACAACATGGAGAAAAGTGAAAAAATTCCTGCCGATAATAGATAGATATATACCACTGTTTAATAAAGATTTTTGGTGTCTCTATCAGGGATCGTTTAAAAATATTTCCCAAAATAATGTTAATTTTTACGATGAAAAAAAGCTAATAATATACCGGTAATAATTACCCGATAATGAAAATAATTCTTCTTTGAATAGGTTATATATTACCCCGCATTTTGACACACCCTATATACAAAAATTCGGGACATTCACGCTGCATTATTGATTGCAACGATACAGATTAATTTATTAATTTATTTTAAGAAGTTTATGACTAAATAGATATGGTACAGAACAGGGCGAGGACAATCCAGACGATTTCTAGTAGTACATGATTTAAATTTGGATGAAAACCTTCTGTGACCGGTTGTGATACAACCAGCCAATTGTCTGGCATTGGGAAAAGAACCTACCTTGAACACCATCACCTTTTGAATGGATTTGGCACTGATCAGTACTCTGAAAACATATTCTCTAATCTTGAAAAATTTTTCATAAAAATTTATTCAAAAACTACTAATGTTACTTCCATTAACATTTTGAGGGGATTAATGGCCTCGTTAAATTGCCACCGACTGAAGACGCCCTGAGACAATTTTACCAGCTAAATATTTGGCTAAGCTCTTTAAAGCCGCAAATACAGTTTCCTAATGTTGATGAGTATGGATGGAAAGTAGATCAAGATGGAAGTCTGATACCCACTCTAAGACTCTGTCCGACCTGCCACCAGACATAACAGAACTTACCTCATGCAAATGCAAAAAAGGTACTATGCACCGATAATTTTCATAAATGTACAATATTCTAACAATATTATTCTGTTCTAGACTGTGGAAGCAAAATCTGCAAATGCAGAAAAAAATATTGGCTGTATCGGTTCCTGCACCTGTATGGCACAGAAAAACTGCAGAAATAGTTTGACCACAGCTAATGTTTCGGAAAATGTTGATTCGTGTGGTGAATCTGATTTTGATTAGTTTTAAAGTCTTGTACTTATAAATTTTAATATTATTAATTTATGCTTTATATACTTCTGATTATTTTTATAATGTTTTTATAATGGGAATTTATTGTATTTTTAGCCTTACTGTTTATAATCGATACTTATATATACTGTGTTTATACCTTCAATAAATAGTTTATATTTTCTTATTTGTTATTTTCCTCAAAAAACTAAAAAAATAAATCATAGCGGATAAATTAATAATCCCTGTATAAAATAATATAAGAGAGTCAAACTGATTGCATACATTTCAGTACTGAGAGAGACGCATAGAGGGTCGAGAGGCTCTGCCTCTGCCTTCAATGTTAGCTTTCTAGTAAAATCATGACATCACTACTTGTTTAATGCTATATTTTTGTAATTTAAAAGCAAATATGGGAAAAGCACTATTACCTTGTCAATACATAAACGAAACTTTTGTAAGGAATAGTTTTTTTTTCATTTAGGCCTTCGTTTTTCGTCAAATGAGAGGTATATTTCTAACAGAAGATTTTTTATACAAATTTGTGGACGGTTGAAACCGAGATATTGACGTTTAACTTTTTTTCGACCATAATGGCTAATGCAAATGATTTTTTTAAAAATAATTATGAAAAAATACTTCCTACAAAGACCTAATTGTGCATTAGAACAAAAAATAAGCATTTTTTTTTTCTATGCGGTGGTATCAATAACTCGATTTTTTATGATAGTGCCCTTTTGCCCTGTCTAATTTTGTATTACCTTCGGAATAAGGGTTAGCTTATCATGTACTGGTCAATAACCAAGGCTCTAGAAGGGAGAAACGTCCCAGTAACAATATGCCAATGGATCACTGCCTGTCTAGAGAACAGGATTATTTTATCCACTCTAGGAAAGGCAACCATACAGGCAAAAGTTACACGGGGCTGCCCACAAGGAGGAATACTATCTTCAATGCTGTGGTCAGTTCTCGTGGACGACTTACTCAAAATATTGTCCAAAGAAGGCTACCAGTGCCTAGGATACGCAGACGACCTAGCAATCATCGTCAGGGGGCGATTTGCAGGTACAGTTTCGGAGCGATCTCAGACAGCTCTAAACATAGTGAACAACTGGTGCAAAAAGGAACAATTGTCCATCAACGCACAAAAAACAACAGTTGTACCATTCACAAAAAAACGGGTACTCACAGGTCTAAGACCACTAGTACTAAACAGCACAGTTATCCCATTCGTCACAGAAGCCAAATACCTCGGAGTCATATTTGACCAAAGGCTGACATGGAATCAACATCTCAAAAAACTCACACATAAAGCTACAATAGCTCTCGTAAGCTGTAGAAGAATATGTGGGAAAAACTGGGGTCTAAACCCCAAAATGACCATATGGTTATACACAAGGGTAATAAGACCCATGATAACCTATGGCGCAGTGGCGTGGGTAACCAAAACTGCGCAGGCAAGTGCAATAGGCCAACTCACTAGCATCCAGCGGCTTGCCTGTCTAAGTGCTACTGGGGCCATGCGCACTACGCCGACCGCAGCAATGGAGGTATTACTAAATCTCACGCCATTGCACATCTTCATACAAGGAGAAACCAGGTCAGCTATTCACAGGCTAATGCAGGGACAAAACCCAATAAGCCAACTACATAGCGCCGACCACACAAGGCTATATCAGCAAGTACAAAGGGATAATATTCTAGCTATGCCTACTGATAGAGCCATAACCACATACAAATTTGAAAGAAATTTTCAAATTCAAATACCAGCCCGAGAATCCTGGAAACAGGGACCTCCCGTACAGGCTGAACTCGTCTGGTACACAGACGGTTCAAAAACCAAGGAAGGAGCCGGTGCTGGAATCTATGGACCTAAGTCGAAATCAACGATTTCACTAAGCTTAGGAAAATATGCAACAGTGTTCCAGGCTGAGCTAATAGCCTTACAACACTGTGCAAGAGAAATATTAAATCAGCAAGTATCAGGCAAAACTATTGCCATATACTCTGATAGCCAAGCAGCTCTAAAGGCAATTCTCTCACCAGAAATCAAATCACGACTGGTGAAAGACTGTCTAGAAGACCTGACAGAGCTAAGTAGTCAAAATAAGGTGACCTTAGCCTGGGTTCCAGGCCATGAGGGATATCAGGGCAACGAAAAGGCCGACGAATTAGCCCGAGAAGGCTCAGATAAGGCCATGACAGGCCCTGAACCCTTTTGTGGAGTCGCTAAGGCATTGTGCAAGGCATCCATTAAACAATGGATGCAAAAAGAGTCTCAGGAATGGTGGAACAACTATCCAAGACTGAGACAGGCCAAACAGTTCATCAAAGAACCATCGGCCAAGTTTACGAAAGACCTACTGGATCAAAAACGTCAAATCGTTAGGATAACAGTTGGCCTTCTTACTGGACACTGTCGCCTCAAAAGGCACATGAGTGTCATAAATCCAGCAGAAGAAGCAACTTTGTGCAGGTTCTGTGAAGAAGAAGAGGAAACATCATTCCACGTCCTGTGCCAATGCGAAGGCTTGGCTGGAATGAGGTTTCTAACATTGGGCGAAGAAAAGCCAATTGCATGCAACTACATGCGGGAGCCACTGTCAAAGCTACTAAGTCTAATAAAAAAGACCAGGCTAGACGACATACTCTAAAACAAACGGAGTCTCACAATAGATCTGAAAAGGTCGCGGTGGACAAGGACAAATAACGTCCAACTCCTAATCTAATCTAATCTTTTGCCCTGTCTAATTTTGTATTACCTTCGGAATAAGGGTTAGCTTATCATGTACTTTCATCCCTGAAAAATTC